TAAATTCTAATTAAAATATATTAATTATATTAAAATTATTACTTTTTTTAGATATTTATGTTAAATATTTTTAAAATAATTTCAAAGAAGGAGAGGAAGATTGAACTAACGACTATCGTTATTGATGTAATATAACGTTCGCGATTGAAAACGCACGAATTAACCGAACTAAATCCGGTTTTGATTGCATTATAGCAAAATATGATATGCAAACCGGAACAGTTCTAGTATTGCAAATGCTATTTGCATCTGGAATTCGATTATGAGAATGATAAAGCAGGCTTTCGATTTGATTTCATTCCCAATTTGAGATCAAACTCTTTTTCAAGCACGTATAAGACATTTAATATTCAAATTGCACATATTATATTTACTGGACACTTTTGGCAATTAATTAAGATGTAACATCGATATATTTGATATGGCTATCGCATTCGTAAAATTAGTAAAATGTACGACAGACATTGTGCACCTCGCAATATTTATATGATCAAAGTAAGAGTTGGAAAGATCATCACCCTTGACTCAGTTAACGGAAGATTAGCGACATTGAACTGAAGGTAAACATGAAAGGAATCAACGAAGTCTTTGCATGGGCTAGTAAACGACCAATGGATGTTGAATTATCGAATACGATTTTAACTCGTACCAAGAACACTGGTCAAGCAACGTATATACATATATAAGTCCTGTTCACCGATCTTGTGCTCAGTTAAATACATGAGAGGTAAACGTCACTTCGTTGTAAAGTACTGCAAATCTTTATAGTATCTAAAAGGTGAATTATAAGTGAATTATACAAAATCTTGATTGGTATTCATAAAGACTTGTATTTTTATAACATCATTTACTTATTAATAGTATAAAAGAAATTTTGTCAAATATAAAACTTTTAAAAAATATTTGTCTAAAAAGGATTACGATTTTTATTAATAAATCAAAATTATGTCGCGACATAATTGCTATAAAAATACACTTTATGCTTTTGTAAGAAATTTTTTATTTATTGTATTTTTATATATTTGTTTAGTTTAATTTAATTTCTGTTCCTACGTTCTACAAATTTTTGGAATAGTAATGTATTTAGACATGTGCTATATATAAATATTATCTCAGCGTATAATTTTAATTCATTAAATAATTATTTATATGTTAGATATATAATTAATTATGTTAGAAATATAATTAACTTTATTAATAAGAATCTTATAATTCTTTTGAAGACTATTAAAAGTTTTACATTACACAAAATTTTGGATAAACTTCTGAAAATGACCCACGCCCAATTGCCATAAATTTTGGCAGAATTTTGTTGATGGGATGGACTTCGCTTTGCGTGAAAATTCATACACCCTTGAGCAGGAGGGGAGGGGGGGATATCATTAACGAACTTCACTCCAACAAGATAGATAACTTTATTTATACACTTTGGCATTAAATTTTATTCCGATAAAAATTCATTTCACATTTAAAGTATTTCTGCCAGAATTAATAACAATTAGACGTGAGTTATTTTCGAAAGTTCAATCCAAAAAATTTTTAGGGAAGCATCAGAGCATCACAAATGTTAACTAATTGCACAAATATTATCTTGTTCATCATGGTAACAACTTGCGCAGCTACGCCAATTCTTTTTCTAAATCCCGCAACGATGCTTGCTCATCCAGCTGTTATAATTAATTCTGAGATGGAAGATAATTTACCTTATGAATTACGAAATAATTTCTATAAAAATCCAAGTATTGCTGCTGGTCTCGCTAAGGAATCCTGGTTTATCGATAAGGAAATGCAGGTATATAATTTTTGTAATTTACCCAGATAAAACGTAATAATTAAACGTTCTTCAACACTTATTATTATTAATCTAACCATTTGATTTTTTTATGAAATTGTATAAATTATAATATATTATTTATATTATTGCTACAGCATACTATGCTTTTACACAATTATAAGTATAATTATAAGATTACATCATTAACATCACAATTAACAAATTCGTTATATTTTAACACTATAGAAATAATTACTACTTGCGTTAAATAATTCAATTATAAGTCCAAATATATTAAAATCGAACAGTTAGTTTTTTTTTGGATATCCGTTTAATGTTACAGGTAATCGACCGGGAGGCGGACAAAATCCCAAAGGAAAAGATTTACAATGTGCTACATAATGCTGGACTCGTTCGCAGATAATATCAAGATAATGAAGAAGAATTGTTAGCGAATTTGAGTGGGAGCATTTGTGTGCACTGGTATATATAAAAGTCGTTATACACGTACCGATTTAATCTGACAATGAGTGTAAAAGTGAAAAGCAAACATTTAAAATTAGAAAATACATATTTTATCTAACAATCACAATGAAGTATTGAGTATTTCACAATTTAATCAGTTTCTATGTTTATAATAAACATATATCTTTGTCAATTTACGACGTCTTTAATTGACGTGCATCAGTGCGCACTGCGAATGTGTCCAATCAAATTCGCTATATGTTGTTAAATATATTTCGGTTTCCATATATTCAATAATTTAATTTCTTGCTCTTTGTTCATTCGTTCTTGTGTTCTATTGTTCAGGATTTAATTAATACAATGTTAATTTTGATATCTTATCTTTTATATGTTTTTCCACATTCTGTAGGTTACAATCGGTTTTAGCTATTTCTTAATTACTTTGATTATGATCTTATAAATGTAATACCTACAATTAGTAACAGTCTGACATATACAATTCAATACTTATATAATATTAATACATATAATATTATTGTAATATAATAGAAAGTTGTTATTTTATGTATAAAATATGCAGAACGCTCGTGTATTTTATCCATTAATTATATCAGTCATAATTAATCAAATTATATCAAAACTGAACTTATTGTATGATTCATCTTTTTCTTTCCAACATGGAGAGAAAAAGAAGAGAAAGAAGAAAGATGAATCGTACAAGACCTAATCAGCACACAATATTAAAAAAAATGTTTAAAATTGGATTTAAAAATATTTATTTAGTGTAAAAATATTAAATAAATGTTTAAAAAAAAATGTATTTTAAATATTGGGTGCTGATTGGGGAACTTTAATTAAAAAGAACAGATTATATCCCAGATAAGTATAGACAGTATAAAATATTTATGATAAATATTTACTAATTTAATATTTTTGAAATGTCATGTATTATAGATATTTCATACATATTTCATACATATAAAGCTTTATTTGCAATATTATTAAAATATAAACTAAATATTTTATGTAATATTTATAATAAATATAAATAAATATTTCTAATGAGTTTTACATATATGTATATACATATATAAATATATATATAAAATATTTAGTATTAATTTAGTAATACACACATTTTTACGTTTACATATTATGTATATGCAATATTTTTGATTCCCAATTTATGTAATAATAGATTCGTACAACATCCGTTTTCTCTATGACTCTCTACTATTTTATCGACGTTGTTGACTTTATCGACAGTGTCAGAAAAATGGATGCAGCCACGTAGTATCCGAACCAAAAAATAGATGTACTAGCGCTAATGTTCGTCGGTATCACGAAAAATGTGCCGAAATGGTTTTTTCCAGATTTCTCTTTGATATATGTAATATGTACATTCACGATCGCTGTACATGATAAAAAGAGACCGAGAGAGTATAAATGACGTGCGTACAACCAAAGAGAAACCTGAGAAAGAACATGAAAACTATAATCGCAAAATGCTACCACCTACTGTTCTCTGAAAAAGTGGATGTTAACTACACAACAATATCCATCTTTTTGCGGAGTTTCTGGAAATAGATAGTTGAAATCTGTAAAATAAATAAAATCTATTAAATTAATAAAGATTTCAACGATTTCAGCGATTTATTTCCATCGGGAGCATTGCAAAAAGGTGGATATTATTGGATAGTTTACATCTACTTTAGAGGGCGATAGTGCGCGGCAGCATTTTGCGGTTACAGATTTTGACTGTTATGTCCTCTCTCAAGTTTCTCTCTCATGGCTATCGGCGATAAAATTGATAAAATTGATTGCGATTTACAAAATTCATGATCTCAAAAAAAATAATTTTGATAGCAATTTAAAATAAAAAAAATACAAACTTATTATTTAACATATTTTTTATATATTTGTATATAGATGGACATATTTTATATATAATTATATATAATTCTATATAATTATATATAATTATATATAATTTTATATATATAATTATATATATATAAGTATGCATATATAATTATATATAAAATATTTTTCCCCGGGATTAGTGATAAGAAAAAAATTAATAAAATTTTGTAATCATTAAGCATAAACAATGATTATAGAAATAAATATTTAAATCGCTTGTGATGACATCTGTTGCTGAAATACTAATTTGGAAAGTTATTAAAACACATGCAATGTGTTATATATTTTTCTTCTTATGTGAATAATTACAATTGAGAACTACGGAGCTATATACATATACTGACGATAAGTGTATTCGGATATAGGTGCGGTTTTTTGCACATGTATAAGAGATTTATTAGCGAATTATATTAACTTTCAATAAATATAGATATTAGCTGCGTTTAGAAGAAAAACAGCTTTGCAACTGTTGTAAAATTCTTCAAGATGATTCGTTCTTACCATTGTTTTTTAATGGATCTAAATATATAAATAAATTATATTGAGAGATCTTATAAGAATTTTACAGCAATTGCAAAGCTGTTTTCTCTGATAAATGTAGCTATTATGGTCCTCTTTTTTTCTTTAGCAAACTGACATTATTTTAATTTGTCGTTATGTTGATGTCAAATGATAACAAATAACATCAGCTTGAAAATTCTTTCTTTTTCTTTTTTTAACTTTTAATACAACACACTATGCAAAAAAAATCATAAAGTATATTATAATCAAATTACTTTCATACATTTTTCATTATGTGGCAAATACAATTTAACTTGTACAGACTCTCAACCATCCCCGTCGATTATAATCGACGGTCCTCTTTTTTTTACTTCAAAAACTTTTTTTTACTTTACGTTATTTGTCGTAATTTTGATATCAAAATAAAATTGAAGACATCATTTTAACGTCAAATGACAAATAAGTCAACTTGTTACTTCACTTGTTTCATTTTCTTTTCTTTTTTAACTTTTAAATCAACATACTATACAAAAAAGTTTTAAAATATGTTATACTCGAATTATGCATATACGTTTTTCATATAATTTGGTAAAAACATATTAATTTATAGAGGCCCTCCACCACATCCCCTGCCATCCGATCGGCGGTCCTCTTTCTCCTTTACAATACCTTTACATAAAATGGAATAATTTTTGTCCAAAATCAGAATAAATTTAGCCTAAATTTTGACAATACAGCATGCAAAATCTGGACATATGACATCTTAAACAAGTAATCTTATAAAGAATTAATCGAACTATTGTCTTAAAAAAGTTTTAAAAGTCTTATATCATAATTTTGGAGATATGTATTGCATATGTATATTTATAATTTGTATCAAAGTTTCTGGGACGAAGGCTTTTATTCTGTAATTCTTAATGATAGTGTCGACGTTGTTATATTATCGTTGCGTAGTTTTTTCATGTATGAAATCTACTCAATGACAATACATAACGATATTTACAGTTATTGTTCTTAATTGTAAGAATTACAAAATAGGGGCTAAAGTTACTCCATTTTATGATATATTCCTTTACATTTTTATTACTTACATTACTTTTTATACAATTTACTTTATGTTATACATAACATATTACAAAAAATTTACATTATAAAATATTATATAATATACAATATATATACGCGCAAAATTTCATGAAATTACAGAGAAAACATTCCGTA